ACCGCTGTTTCTTTTTTCTTTTCTTTCTTTTTTTTGTTTTTGTTGTTTGTTTTATTTTTTCAGTCAGGGTTTGTCTGTGTAACAAACAGTTCTAGCTGTCCTGAAACTCACTATTGTAGACCAGGCTGGCCTCAAACTCACAGAGATCCACCTGCCTCTGCCTCCAGAGTACTGGGATTAAAGGCATGTACCACCATGCCCAGCTCTATTTTTCGTTTTCCTTTTTTTTCTTTTTTCCCCTTTGTTCCTTCAGAATACCTTTTGTGCAAACTGTAAGATGAAGCACAGCTCACCCAGTATCAGGAGAACCATCTTGCTTGTCCTTTCTTTCCTCCCTTTCTTCTTTCCTTCCTTTTTCCTTCTATTCTTTTCTCCCTCCCCTCATTGATGTTAAGGGTCTTGCGTAGTTCAAGCTCTCCTTGAACTTGCAGCTTAGTGGAGGATGACCTTGAACTTCTGATCCCCCCCTCCCTCCCCCCCCCCCCCCCCCCCCCCCCCGCCTCCACCTCCTGAATGCTGAAATTACAGGCCTGGGCCACCACACCTGGTTTGTTGGATGCTGAGTCTCAAACCCAGGTGCAAGCACTCTACTAGCTGAACCGCCCACCTCCCAACCCGCTTCCTTTCTTTTTAACGAAGACACACCTTTCTGGACAATGACCACCCTGGCCATGAAAGTTTTATGAGGGGCTCAGAGAGTGGATGACACCTTCTCAATTATAATGCCACTCTAATAAACCCCTACAGAGCCATGGGGCACAGAAGTCTGCAGCCAACGTGACACCTATTTATTCCCTAATTACATGACAATATATTCTCTGTGTGTGTGCTGATGAAGATAAAATATTCCTTTAATTCTACGGCCACCTGGGGGGTGAGGGGGGATGGGACCGCATATAAGCTTGTCCTGGGAGTCCCTGGTGCTAAATCACAGCCTTGTCCCAGCCCCCACTCCAGTAGTGTCTTCAGGAAAATCAGTCTCTTTCCTCAGTTCTCCACACCTGAAGTGTGGTTCCCACAGTGAGAGCATCAGCATGGCTGGAAGCAGGATGGAAATGGCAATTAGCAAGGCCACTCCAGGCCCACTGAATCAGAAGCCAAGGCTGCAGCTTAGGAGCTGTGTTGCTATAAGACCTTTCCCAATGGAAGCATGACCCCTACTGAATCCCAGACAGAAAGAAGGGCTTCAGTCTTTTGTGAGATTTGCTTTGTTTCTTTGTTTGGTTGGTTTTGGTTGTTTTGTTTGGTATTTTTCAAGACAGGGTTTCTCTGTGTACTCCAGGCTGGCCTGGAACTCAGAGATCCGCCTGTCTCCACATCCTGAGTGCTAACATTAAAGGCATGCACCCCCACCGTCCTATTTTGTTTTGTTTTTTTTCTGAGCGAGGTTTCCATTTTTATGTTTGTTTACTTATGTGTGTGCATGCGTGCATATGTGTATGGAGATACGTGTGCACATGTGCATGGAGATACGTGTGCACATGTGTATGGAGATACGTGTGCACATGTGTATGGAGATACGTGTGCACATGTGTATGGAGATACGTGTGCACATGAGGAAGTGTGCACGCAGAGGCTGGGGGCCAACCTTAGGTGTCATCCTCAGGAGCTAGTCACCTTGTTGTTGAGACTGGGTCTCTCTCTGGGACCTGGGACTCACCCACGAGGCTAGACTAGCTGTCCAGAGAGTTCCAGGGAGCCTCCTGTCTCTACCTCCTCAGCAGTGGGGTTACAAAGCACATACTGCCATACTCAGCTTCTCATGAGGGCTCTGGAAATCACACTCCTCAGGCTTCCATAGTAGGCACTTTCCTGACGGAGCCACCTCTCCAGCTCAGAAGAGCATTTTAACCTGAATGGGACATAGGCATGCTGGATTCTATAGCAACTGAGTCCCTCTGACTACACAGCCATCTTCGGACTCAAGGTCTGCTTACCCATCTGTCCAGTGGGGCTCCAGAGCTTGCCACGCAGCTGTGGGTGCTGGAGTTTCAGAAGTACGTAGTCACCTGGCAGCGGTCTCTATGGAGACCTAGCAAGATCTCTTGTCGATAGTCACCAACTGCCTCCTACCATGCTCTGACCAGCAGAAACTCTACAGGGCAGCTCTCCAGGGCCACTTATAAGGTCAGCAACACAGCCCTCCTGGGTCACCCCTGGCAACCAGCAGACTTTCCAAACCACATAACCGACTGTTTCAAACCTTGTCACCACGGAGCCCTGAGCCACTTGAGGGGAGGTTGGGGTCATTTGTTATACTGCCAACCATTCTACAGATGTCCTCTATATACATGCCTCCTCCTTGCAACTAGACTGTAAGCATAGGAGGGTAGGACCAAGGCAATCAGCATAATGAGCTGGGGATGGTCCCTGTCTGACCAGGGCTGGGTCCCTGGGCCCGAGGCTGAGCTGCAGAACTAACTTGCTGACCAAATGTTATGAGGAGAAATGCCCAACTCATACAAAGCCCAGAACAGCCAAGCACCTAGATTCTATCACGTGTGTATGTATGTTCTGGGAGCAAGGGTGCAGGCCATGGCAAGACTGTGAAGGTCAGAGGACAAATCAGCTCTCCTTCCACCATTTGATTTTCCAGCCTCGAACTCAGGTTATCAGGCTTGGCGGCAAGCACCCTTCCCTGGCTGAGCCATCTCCTCTGCCAGCACCTAGAGTCTAAAAGTGAAGCTGGGAAGGAGCCGAGGAATGCCTGAAACCTGGGAGGGGGGCAGTGAGCAGGAGGAAAGGAGGTAATCACTGCTTCCACAGCTGTGTCCCTGGCCCTAGGGTCCCCGAGTTCTGCCTTCAGAGTGAAGGCTCACCTTTCACTTCCATAGAGGTAGAGGAGCTGTGGGCCAGAGGCTCTCAAGTCCTTGGCCCGTGAGACTCTACTGCCTGGGGTTAGCAGTAAAGCCCTTCTCCTCCAGTGGCTACGTTCAGGAGGCTCACTCGACATCCTGCAGGAATAGTTTCCCCTCATAATGCCTGCCTGCGGCTGCTTCACAGACCACCCGAGAGCCAGGTCGGTGGCACTTAAAAGCGGACACAGTGCGGGCACAAACTGCAGACCATAGACATGGCTACTCTTTGGGAGATGCTGGATATCGGGTGTCCTGCCTCTAACCTGCAAACCTCTTGGCCCTCCAGCCTGTTCATTCTGCAGTGCAGTGGCCTAACCGGGAACACCTGCCTCGCTCTAAGAAAGTGATGAAGTCAGTAAGGAAAGCTAGAAAATGTTCCTAGCCCTTTGGCAGGAAGACAGGATTACTTCCCCCTTTCCCTTTAGCCAGCTCTAAGCGAGTCCCTTTGCTTCTCTGGGCTTCAGACGGCTGATCTGTAGAATGGGAGGTAAAGGGAAGGACTGCGGTTATAAGCTTCGATTTTCTAGCCGTTTAAACAGTATATGAGCAACATGGAGAGCCCGGTGCTTGATATACACCGCAGGGAAATCCGCCGAAGGAGCAGAAGGTGAGGAGCCGCAACCTAGGCTGGGGGTTAATGTCAATGTCCTGGAGCACTGAACCCAACCTACTGATCGGGAGCAACCGCTGATAGGCGATCCTCCACGCAAAGACCTTCAACTTGTTTTGCCACCTCTAAACCTGCGCTAAGCCTCACAAGAGACCATTTCGGATTGTAGTCCAACAAAGACGGGAGAATGGCAGGGAAGCGGTGAGGGTCGGCGAATCCAGCCTCTGGACTCCAGGAGCCAAAAACTGCCACCCGGGACAGGCTCAGGCAGTCCCGGCCGCCTGCCGCGCGCCACCACCTGGTCAGGACATTAACCCTAGTTTCCCCAGCTGAGTGATGGGCGCGAAGGCGCCCAGCACAAGTAACCTAGCCACAGAGAGCTGGGATGGCCGGGAGCCCCTGCTCTATTGGCTTCCGGAGGAGCGAGGAGTGGGAGAGCCTGATCCTAGTCACTTGGAGCATCACCAGTCCGAAAGGAGGCCGACTGGCCTCACGGCAGGGGCTCGCGGGGACAGATCCCGAGAGACGTGGCGACAGTGGGATGGAGCGTGGGAGTCAGTTCCAGGAAAAAGCTGCTGGGGCTCAGGGGCTCTGCGACCCGCTACGCCGAGATCCGGCGCTGCCGGACTGCAAACGGATGATGGCTCCGTTCCATTAGCGACCTTGATCCTCACAAGGAACGATTCTTACCTATTTTTAAGTCTTTTTTTTCCCTAAAAATTAAAAGAATAAATCAAGTCTAAGAGGAAGGTGGCCGCGCAGGGCAGCCACGAGGACCACCCGTGTTCCCACCTACAACACTACGGTCCGCGATTGGGAGAGAAGTTAGGAACTTCGGGACAGTCACCCACGAGTGCAAGAGGAGTGACTCGCTTCTCTTTTAACTTTGGGTGTTGAGGCCGCCGCTGAGGGTTGGAGGGATGTCACCGGGGGCAACCCACAGGACTGCAAAGCATCCGGATTCCCTCAGAGAGAGTGTGGGGTCGGGATAAGAAAAAGTAGAGTGAGTCCAGGTTGCGCAGGGCACAAGCTAGGCTTGGGCTCCGCGGGGACCTGTGCGCCGCCCCGAAGCTCTGCGTCGGTTCCCGGGTGGGAAAGACGCGGTGCTGGGCGCAAGTTCCGCACATCTGGGGTGGCTCCCTGTCGGGAGTTCCCAGATACATGCAGAGCTGGCAGGTTCCTGCTCCCGGACACCCGCGCCGTGACTCTAGGGTCTTTCCCCGCACGTGGAGGCGGCGGCCGCTGCGTACAGACTGCGGTCGGAGGACGCGCGCCTGGCCCACTCCGGAGCTCTCCTCATCTCGCACGGACCCCAGGGCGCTCCAGCAAGCCCAGCCATCACCTGCCTCTCGCCAAACCCGCCTCCCAGAGCCCGGACCCGGCCGGAGCAGCCTGGAGATCCACCGAGCTGGTGGAAAGTTAGTCTTGAAGCTGCAAAGCCTCCTCCCCTGGACTGGAACCCACACCCCGGCCCAATGCACCCACAGTGCTCCGAGGCTCCTGGTCCCCACGGACCCCACCCAGCCATCTACCTGCTTCCGCGGCGTGCCCAGGGCTCGGGCCAGCCAGTCCCACGGTCCTGTGCCCCGGAGCCGGAGAGGCTTCAGGTTCCCCGGCAGGAGCGCGAGCTGCGAACCGCCCTGAGCCGGGCAACCGGCTCCGGGCACTGAGAGCGAGTGAGCGAGCTGGAGGCTGGAGCCGCTGCGACTGCTGCCTCGGCAGCCCCCACCTCCTGCGTCCCTCGGCCCCTCCCTCTTCCCTCCCCCCTGCGCTCTCCCTCCTCCCACCTCCTTCTTCCCTCTTTGGTCCTTCAGACCCAGCGATCGCGTGCGTTTGCTCGCTCCTTTTTCTGGCTTTCTGCCGGTTGCCTTCTTTTATTCACTCGGTTCTCTCTCACTTTCCTACTTTGCATCCACCCTTCTCGCTCTTTTACCGGTTTTTTACTCTCTCCCTTTTTTCTGTATTTCCCTTCCTTGTAATCTCTCGCATCGATTCCCTTCTCCCCTTTTTTCCTCCTGGATCAGAGTGGCCTCCGCATCTATTCTTTCTAGAAGCTCCGGATCGGGGAGCCAGCCAGAATCGAAGGGAACCAGGAATATCTCCAAACTGCTGAGGACAGAGACCCAGAAAAGGCAAGAAAAGCGAAGAACTCAGTGTGCAGAAGAACCAGCTGCTCTGAGCCACGCGCTGGTGAAGTGCAGACTTTGACGCCCCAGAGCAAGAACTTGCCATGCTGTGGTCAACTCCAGAGGCTGGGCTTAGAGCAGCTCTGCTTCCTGCGACCTGGGACAGGGCTTCAAACCGGAGTTGGGGAGGCGGGGTGAGTGTTAATGACAGGGTACAGTGCCTAGCCACTGGGAAGACTTCAGTCTGATGAAACTACAGCACTCCTAGTGGGTCTTGGCCAGGCGATGTCCCACCTGCCATCGAGAGTGTTACTCCCTACCCCTCTCCTCCAAGATGTCAGGGGCTAATTCTTACTTCCCGGCTTGCCATAAAGGGAGTGAGTGATGAGTTGTCTCTTTCTTCCCTTGAACTTAAACCCACGTGGAGAGTCCCACGCTTGGGGAACGGTGGCCTGCACCTGGAAAAAGAATTTGCCAATAAAGAAGGCATAATGTCTGTGGCTTTGGGCGAGCCTCTCAGCGTAGCTCCTATGCAGTCTGAGGAGCCAGCTCTTACCCTGGGAGTATCAGCTGATATCTGCCATTTCAGCCCAGTGGGGTTCAGAGAAGAGACAGAAGACCCCTTTCCCATTGGCCCACAATAGACAATCCTCCTCCGGAAGGACCTGATCAGGCTTCCAAGCCTCATTTCACCCATAACTGCTGAGCCCACCCCCATCCCGGCACTATTATGAGAAGAGATCCTTCTACCTTGGGTTTCAGGCCCCACAAAACTCCCCATCAACACCCCAGCAGTTCCATGCCTTGGAATATCCAATCAAATAGACAGCTGATGCCTGGCTTGTTATTCACAACGTGGGAGCAGAGCTGCGCTGCCGTGGTGCCTGAGACTGGAGTGAGGCACTTAGCCTCTGCACTTGCACCACCCCCCAGAGTGAGTCCCTCCTTAAATCCTGCACCCCCAGGGACTTCCTGCCCCACCTTTAGTGCTGGTCCTCCTATGCAGGGCCAACTATCTGGCTGATAAATTCGGTTCCCCATCGACAATGAAGGAACTGAATTAGACAATGAAAGAGTCCCCAACACCAGAGCCCTGCACGGTGTGGGTCTGACACTTGGAGGCCACTATGACCTCTCACTATGACACTGGGGGGGGGGGGATCACTTAATCCCTCTAGCCTCCGTTTCCCTGTAAATTGGGAACACTAGCAGTACCATGAACCCTGTGAAGATAGCCCAAAGCTCAGTTCCTGGCACTGTGAGTGGTGGCATTTGGCCACTGTCAGCAGTTAATATTAATTTAATTAAATTTAACCTAGGCTTTGCATATGCTCCTCTTCACATTCACTCTTGGGTTCTGAGCCCCACCTCTCCCCTGCCTCTCACCTCCACTTCTGTACGGTAGCTCCCCATTTCTAAGTGACTTCATGGATTCATGGACATAGATGGGTCTTTCCGGATAACCATTGTACTCAAAAGCTACACAAAGCAGGTCTCCCTGCCCTCTCATCTCTCTGCCACACAGACACACACACTGCCAGGCAGGAATTGTGTGTCCAAGGATTGCTAAGGGGGAAGGGGTGCCTGGTTTTCTGCCACACTCTAAAAAGCTGCATGGATCTATAAAGCTGGGCCTTCCCTGCCCAGATGGCAAGCTTCCAAGAACACATGTCACAACAGAGCCAGAAGCACTTTTAACAAACATCTCTGGGAGTCAGCTCGGGGTCGGCCGGAACCCACAATCCATCATTCACTTGCCAGGAGAGCCTGCTTGCAGGAGGCCCTGCTAGAAGCATTGCAGGGCTTGGCCCGGTCCAACTTCTGTAAGTTTATTAGGGAAGTTGTAGTATCTAAAACCATGCTATTCACCAAAGGGTAAAGTTTGGAACAAAATTCCACCTGCCACCCAAAAGCTCACACTCTCAGGATGCCCTTGAACCTCTTATCTAAATGAGGATGACCTTGAACTTCTGATCCTTTTGCCTCCACCTCCCAAGTACTAGGATTACAGGTGTATGATGCCATGCCAGGTTTTACACAGTGCTGGGGATCAAAGCCAGAACTCAATCCGTGTTAGGCAAGCACTCTACCAACTGAGCTAGTAGACAACCACCCCTAGTAGACACATACACACAGTAGCTAAGTACCAACTTAGAAGTTTATATTCTACCTGGGGAAGGAGGAAAAGGCATTCTTGGAGCTGACTGAGAGATCAGGAGCCAGCCACCCAACTCAAGTCTTTGTGCTGTTGTTTGTCCTCTATGGGACCACAAGGAGAGGCCAGAACTGTTATGGTCAAACTGGGATGAGTCCTCCTTCTTGAATATAAATTCCAGGAGGCAGAGGTGCCCAGGGCTCAGAGGTACCTGTTCCTTTTCCTAACTGAGGTTGCCCCTCACACCTTCTCTCTTCCAGGTCTCCTTTCCTTTCCTAAAGAGACGCTTTCAAAAACCCCAAGAGGGAACCCATCAAGGACTTCCAGATGTTGCAGAATATTAGTTTAAGATGTGTTACCTTTGTTTATGCTGTGGAACATTTGCTTAATAATGCAAAGATGTGTTGCATCCTTTCATGTTGCATTTGTTTAACTGTAAATCTGCATTGCTTTGCCTGTCTAAAACACTTGATTGGTCTAATGAAGAGATGAATGGTCAATTGCTAGGCAGGGGAGGGATAGGCAGGGCTGGCAGGCAGAGAGAATAAATAGGAGAAATCTAGGCTTGAAAGAAGAGGAGGAGCAAGAAAAGAAGGAAAGAAGATGCCAGGGCCAACTATCCAGCCACCCAGCCACACTGCCAACCATGGAGTAAGAAGGAAAGAAGATGCCAGGGCCAACTATCCAGCCACCCAGCCACACTGCCAACCATGGAGTAAGAAGGAAAAAAAGATATATAGAATAAAGAAAGGTAAAAAAAAAATCCAGAGGCAAAGTGTAGTTGAAGAGAAACAGAATAGTTTAAGTTAGAAAAGCTGGCTAGAAACAAGCCAAGCTAAGGCTGGCTGGACACTCATAAGTAAGAATAAATCTCTGTGCATTTATTTGGGAGCTGGATTGTGGGCCCCCAATGAGTTTTTAAAAAAAAAAAAAAACTATACTCAGAGATAGGAGGGACTGGTTGGATAAAATAAAGACTTCAGAACTTTTGGGTCTTTTGAACTCTTCAGACAGAGCGTGACACCACAAGACACGAGAGAAGGATGTCTGCTAGCCACATCTTGCCCTCCTCAGATCTATCACAAAGCCTAGCATAGGGTCTGTCTTGCCTCATCAAAAGAATAAGATATTTACAATTTCTTGAACCAGTGAAATGGCCCAGTGGGTAAAGACGCTTGATGTCAGGCCTGACAACCTAAGTTCTATCTCTGGTTTCCACACGGGGGAAGGAGGGAACCAAGCCCTAACATTTGTACTTTGGCCTCTCCATGTGTGCTGTGGTATATACGCTACAGAGAAAAATGTAATTTTTTAAAGTTTAAGATGCTTATAGCATTAATAAAATACACACAGACTATCACGACAATCCTATAGAGCAAGCATTATCATTCCCCCTCCCCCCCCCTTTTTTTAAGGGAATCGGAGGCTACAAGAACATAAGTTACTCAAAATCACAAAACCAGTAGCAGGCCTGAAACGGAGCTCAAGCTCTTAACGCTACAGTGTCTTCTTGCACTTCAAGAGGGGACCAGGGCGAACAGAGAGACAAAGGTTGAACCTAAGGAGGTGTTTGGCTCTGGGAACTGACTGCGTGCACAGAACCCTGAGAAACAGTCACCTGTGGAAGCCACCCTGAGTTACAGGGGACCACAGGACCTCTAGTGTCCAAGCCAATTGTGAGGTACAGAGAAAAAAAGCCAACACTCGGGGTCACATGCATGGCAGACATGTACCAAGCAGTAACCACCCAACAACCCACAATGACCCAAAATGCTCACACATGTCATGTGATTTGCATACCCACTAAGAAATCGTAAGAGAGGGCAATGAAATAACTCAATAGCTAAGGGTGTTTGTGGCCATCACCGACAACCTGAGTTCAATCTCTGGGACCCATGGTGGAAGAAGAGAACCAATATCCACAAATTGTCTTCCACACAGGTAGGATGACAATGCCCTCTGAGCACACCCACACATGTATGTATGTATGTATGTATGTATGTATGTATTTCTCTTCAGAAAAGGAAACAAAGGTGAAAGATGAGGATGAAATCCAGAGAGAGTGGCTCTATAACCGTGGTTCTCAACCTATGGGCCTTGACCCCTTTAGGGAGCAAAAGACCCTTTCGTAGGGGTCACTTAAGTCCATCAGAAAACATAGACATTTACATTATGATTCATAAAAGTATAAAAATGACAGTTATGAGTTATGAAGTAGCAATGCAACTAATTTTATGGTTGGGGTCACCAGCACATGAGGAACTGAACTGTTTGTATTAAACAGTCACCGCATTAGGAAGGCTGAGAACCACTGCTCTATAAGCTTTTATGAACCCACCACCAATCGAAGGCTTGATTAACTTGCTTGTTTTTATTAAATGACGTTCAATATTTAATAACTTTGAATATGGATTGAATATTTAATCAG